TTTTGTTCCTTTAAAGGTTTTATTTATTTATTTGACAGAGACACAGTGAGAGAGAGAACGCAAGCAGGGGAGTGGGAGAGGGAGAAGCAGGCTCCCACTGAGCAGGGAGCCCGATGCGGGGCTCAATTCCAGGACCCTGAGATCATGACCTGAGCTGAAGGCAGACGCTTAATGACTGAGCCACCCAGGCGCCCCAAGTCTCCCATGTTTGCCAAGGGCCTCTGTGTGTGTCTTGGGATGGCCCATTAACACTGAGGCAGGCAGTTTTACATCTCTGTCTTAACTTTTTTTCTTCCTGCTTGCACAGAGCCTCACACTCAGCCAGAGGTAAGAACTTGGGTCCCTCTCAGTTCTTTCCTGGGCATAAGTACAGTCCAGTCCAGGGTATACACATAGTCCTACAAGTATATGTTGCTTCCTAAATTGCCAGAAATACATTGGAGCTTTTCAAAGCACCTGTGGACATTTTATTCTCCAATTTTTCTTTTAAAGCTTTTTGGGTAGCTTATTATTTGCCCTACCTATTACCATCCTATCAGTCAGTTGGGAAACTGATCAGTTACATACCAGCAAACTGTAAGGAAAAAGCTGTTTACACTGGACAGGCCAGGTCAAATAAGACAGTCTTGCAAATGGGAACAACCAGACAGGTTATATAATGATAGTTCTCTGGTAAAGAGGGTTTGCAGGGGCTCTAATCCCTCTCGTAGCTGCCAGGCTGCTGGTTTTCACTGTGAGCATGGACTCTTGGTTTGCAAGCCTATCATGGTGGTAGAGATGAAGGAACAGAAATAGGGCAAGTTATAACCCTCAGAGCTTACTGGTCTTACTGAGGTTCAGCTAATTTTCTTGATTAATTTTGCCAGATTATTAATTTCCAGAGTTCTGAAAACATTGCATCTGGCATTTTTGTCAGTTTTGCTTTTATGAAAGAGAATTTTCAGAGATTGTTACTGCCACATTTTTGCTGATATTTCTGGTTGTTTTATTGTTTAATTCTCTTTAATTCCAGAATAATCCTAACCTGTACCCAACCCCTATTTACTTATTTTGAAATAATTTAAGACTCGCAGAAGTTATAAAAGTAATACAGAAAGTTCCCATGTACCCTTTACCCAGCTTCCCCCCAATGATTACATCTTACATAACCCTTGTACTTTTTCAAAATGAAAAAATTGGCGGGGCGCCTGGGTGGCTCAGTTGGTTAAGCATCTGCCTTCAGCTCAGTTTGTGATCTCAGGGTCCTTGGATCGAGGGTCCTGGGAAGGAGCCCCATGTGGGCTCCCTGCACAGCGGGGAATCTGCTTCTCCCTCTCCCTTTGCCCCTCCCCCTGCTTGTGTGTGTGTGTGTGTGTGTGTGTATGCGCACATACGTGCGCACTCCCTCAAATAACTAAAATTATTAAAAAGAAAAGATTGGCATTAATACAGTGCTATTGACTAACTATAAATCTTATTAAAATGTCACCAGTTTTTTTTCCTTTCGTGTACACTACTTTGAAATTTCACCCATGAATAGATTTATGGAACCATTATCATAATCAGAATGTGAATCTGTTTTGTTACCACAAAGACATTCCCTTATTTACAACCATACCCTTCCCCCAGGGGCACCTGAGTGGCTCAGTCGTTAAGCTTCTGTCTTGGGCTCAGGTCATGGTCCCAGAGTCCTGGGGTGGAGCCCCACATCGGGCTCTCTGCTCAGCGGGAAGCCTGCTTCTCCCTCTCCCACTCCCCCGGCTTTTGTTCCCTCTCTCGCTGTGTCTCTCTCTGTCAAATAAATAAATAAAATCTTTAAAAAAAAAAAAATACCCTTTCCCCAAACCTAACACCTTGTCATTTAGCTGTGCCACCACTAGAATTTTGTCATTTTGAGACTTTTGTGTAAATGGAATCTCATGAGTTACTTATTTATTTAATTATGTATTTGTAATTATATAAATACATATTTCTTATACAGTGACCTAATGATGCTGGCTTATTTTCACCCAACATAGTACTTTTGAGATCCATCCAAATTATAGCGTGTATCAGTAGTTTGTTCTTTTTAGAGTGGGTAATGATACATCATATGGATGTACCAGAATTGCTTATCCATTTGTTTATTGAAGTTCATGGGGGTTATTTCTGGTTTGAGGTTATTACAAATAAAGCTGCTACGATCAGTCATGTACAACTTTCTTGATAGACATACATTTTCATTTCTCTGGGATAAAAATCCCAAGAGTGCAGTTGCTAAGTTACATATATTTTTCATTTTGTAAGAAACTTCCAAACCGTTTTTGCAGAAGTGGCTGTACCATTTTAAATTCCCACCTGCAGCATGTGCGATCCTTTTATTCTAAAACCTTGCTAAACTCGTTTATTAGTGCTAGGAGTTTTTTGTAGATCAAGTTCCTCCACATCCTTTCCTATGCTTCCTGTTAAGAAGTTTTTAAATTTTCTTTTCACTATTCTGTTAGGGGTATGGTGGCAAATCATTGAGGCTTTAATTTGCATGTCTCTAATGGCTACTGGTATTGAATATCTTTTCTTTTTTTTTTTTTTTTTTAAGATTTTATTTATTTATTTGACAGAGAGACACAGCGAGAGAGGGAACAGAAGGAGGGAGAGTGGGAGAGGGGGAAGCAGGCTTCCCATGGAGCAGGGAGCCCGATGCGGGGCTCGATCCCAGGACCTTGGGATCATGACCTGAGCCGAAGGCAGATGCTTAACGACTGAGCCACCCAGGCACCCCCTTGAATATCTTTTTCATGTGCCTGTTTGTCTCCTGGATATTTCTTTATTGAAGTGTCTGTTCATTGTTCATGTTTCTTGCTCATTTTCTGACGAGATTGTATGTTTTCTAGTATTGAGTTTACAGAGTTGTTTATATATTGTGAATATAATTCTTTTATCATACATATATATTTTGGTTTGTATGTTTGTCTTAAACATTTTTAAGTGTACATTTCATTGGCGTTAAGCATATTCTCACTACTGTGCAACCATCTCCAGATCTTTTTGATCTTGCAGAACTGCAGCTCTACCCATTATTCAACCACTCCCATTTTCCCTACCCCCAGCCCCTGGGAGCTACTATTCTACTTTCTTTTTCAATGAATTTGGCTACTCTGGGTACCTCATATAAATGGAACTAACAATGTGTTCACAAATACTTTTTTTCAATCTGCACCTTGTCTTTTCAACCTCTTGAAATTGTCTTTAGCAAAGCAAAAGTTTTTAATTTGATAAAACCCAATTTATCATTTTTTTTCTTTTAGATTGTGCTTTTGGTATCATGTCTAAGATCTCTTTACATAGTCCTATGGGTTTTTTGTATTTTTTATAAAACTTTTATAGTTCTACATTTTACACTCAGATTTATGACCTGTGTTGAATTCATTTTTGTGTGTGGTGTGAGGTTTGGTTTGATGTTGAATTTTTTGCCTATGGAAATCCAGTTGTTCTTGGACTTGAACTTGAGGGGTACTGTTTTGTATTGCTTTTCCTATCCTGAATTTTTAGGATTACTAATCCGTGCTATAAGTAGGTAAGCCTTTACAGCTATTAAGTGAAATATTTTACTGGGGTGCCTGGCTGGCAGTAGAGCATGTGATTCTTGATCTCAGGGTCCATGAGTTCAACCCCCACATTGGGTATAGAAACTACTTAAAAATAAAAATTTTTTTTAAGATTTATTTATTTGAGGCTGCGCCTGGTGGCTCAGTCAGTTGGGCGGCTGCCTTTGGCTCAGGTCATGATCTCAGGGTCCTGGGATGGAACCCCACAGCAGGCTCCCTGCTCAGTGGGAGTCTGCTTCTCCCTCTGGCCCATCCCCCACTCATGCTCTTGCGCACACTGTCTCTCTCTCAAATAAATAAAATCTTTATTAAAAAAAAAGATTTATTAGAGAAAGTGCATGCACACGCATGGGGGTGCGGTGTGCAGGTTGGGGGAGGGGCAGAGGGAGAGAATCTTAAAGCAGACTCCCCACTGAGCACAGATTCCTGAACCAGGGCTCAATCTCACAACCCATGAGATCATGACTTGAGCCGGAACCAAGAGTCTGACACTTAACTGACTGAACCACCCACGTGCCACAAAAATAAAACCTTTAAAAATATATACATATATATACATATATATGTTTTACTGAAAAAAAGGTTTAAGAATAATTTATAATGACATGAGTGAATACTTCCAATAAAACTAAAAAAAAAAAGATATGCAGTTTTTTATTGTTTTTTTTTTTTTAAGATTTTATTTATTTATTTGACAGAGCGAGAGAGCACAACTAGGCAGAGAGGCAGGCAGAGGGAGAGGGAGAAGCAGGCTCTCCACTGAGCAGGGAGCCCAACATGGGGCTCGATCCCAGGAGTCTAGGATCATGACCTGAGCCGAGGGCAGCCGCTTAACCGACTGAGCCACCCAGGCACCCCAGATACACAGTTTTAAAATTAAATTTGTAGCTACTTTAGATACCTAGAGTATTCTGGTAAAATACACTGGAAGGTTGTAAGACCGATGCCTCTGGGTAGGGGGCTGGGTGTGTAAAGTGGAGAAAAATTATTTTCAGTGTATTTTCTTTTGGTCTTTGCCATGTATATGAGTTTCCTCTTCTATAAGAAATGGGTTTACGAGAAACTACAGAGTGTAAATACAATTGTGATTTTAAAAAACAAGAAATTTCCTAAGACAACATATGCATTAAGGAATTCTGGGAGAAAAAAAGACACTATCACAGTGAAAATTGGTTGCCTTTTGATGACGTGACTTTGAGTGATTTTGTTAAAATGTTATTTTCTAAGTTAATTTTATTACTGCTTATAAAATTTGGTGGGGGTGGCACAAGGAAGGGATATTTTTAAAACTTAAATTTCCTTTAAAGCTTACCTTAAAGTTCAACTTCTAGAATCAAGTAGTAGAGTCTAAGTTGTGCTACACATTGTACAAAAAGACCTGGACAAACACCCTCCCTCTGAGATGTTTGCTGCATTATCTTTGCTTTTGTGTTTCAGTGCCAAGCCTAAGTCAGAGATCCACGTATCGATGGCCACTCCAGTTACTGTGTCCATGGAAACTGTGTCCAGTCAAAATAATGATCAGCCCACCATTGCAGTCCCTCCCACGGCTCAGCAGCCTCCACCGACCATCCCAACCATGATCGCAGCCGCAAGCCCCCCATCACAGCCAGCTGTCGCCCTCTCAACCATTCCGGGAGCGGTCCCCGTCACTCCCCCCGTCACTACCATTGCGGCTGCCCCTCCGCCATCAGCTGCTGTAGCTGGCAGTCTCTCTTCTGTGTTGGGCACTCCGGTACCTGAGATAAAAGTTAAAGAGGAAGTGGAACCAATGGACATCATGAGGCCGGTCTCTGGTAGGTTCATTCATGGAGTTCTCTTCATTGGCACATGCTACTTCCTCTTTACCTGACTCTCCTCGAGGGCCAGACTCTTGCGTGACCCTCAGTTGTGAAGCCTGACCCTTTAGTGCCCGTTGTAAATTTGCATGTCATTCATTTTAAGAAGGGGACTGGTAGGCTCCTTTGGAAACTAAAACCATTTTTGCTGCCCTTTTAGTATCAATTTTATTTCTTACCAAAATCATAAAAAAGATGAACATTTCCCCAAGAATATCCTTAAATAAAGCTTCTGTGGTTGTATTGTTTTCTATTTCTCATTTTGGTTTTGAGTCTTCTTTTTTTCTTAGTTAATGTAGTTAAAGTATTCCCTGTTTTGCTTCGTTTTGGAAAAACTGGTTATTACTTTCAGTGCTACGTTATTGTTTATTCTGGTCTCTCTGATTTTTCATTATTTCCTTCCTCTACTAAATTTCATTTAAGTTTCTTTTTTTTCTAGTTCTTTGTGGTATAATGTTAAGTTGTTTATTTGAACTTTTTTCCGTTATTTATTATAAGCATTTAGAGTATAAAAGAAATTAAAAATAGAAAAAAGGGTCAAAATAAGATCATAGCTAAGTGCTGATTATTTACGATTTATTCCCTGCCAAGTTTTGTTGCCCTGTTACACAGTGAAGCAAGATTTATGTTGTTGAAACTTGATAAACTTACATGTGATTAGTAAAATCATAAAACTCCTCACTGCTTTCTTTCCCTCCTCTCCTCAACTCTAAACGTCCAGTGTGTAAAATGCAGGTCGCTTTGGAGGTTTTCTTTTTGTTTGTTTATATGTTAGTAATTTATTGAGAAATGTTCCTTCCCCTGACTACAAAAATAGCATTTAATGAACAAAATTTATGAAATACAGATAAGGCCAAAGTGGAAGGCAAGTCATTTTAGCCGGCACTGCCCTCTTACCATACCCCGTACTGTTTGTTCAGTAAGAGGTGTGGTGGTGCTGTGTCTGCAGTTGTTAAACCTGCTTTTGTTTTCATTCATTATGCCCTGAAATATTCTTCTATGTTACCCATATTTAGCCTCAGCACTTCGTTGAAAGACACCACGGATAACCCAGGAGGGGAAATGAAATGTTTTCAATTTTACTGTTCTTCTCTCTTGATTTCAATAGCCTCTTAACCTCTCTGTGCTAGGAAGTTGTTAGTAATCACACCTTAAACTGTAGGGCTCTACACCAGGTACTGATGATACAGCCTTATACAAAACAAGTACATCTCCATCATCTTGCAGCTTACATTTTACCAAGGGAGAGAAACTGCCAAGTAAAGCAGTGACAAAATACAGGTATACCTCAGGGAGATTGTGGGTTCATTTCCAGATCACCACAATAAAGCAAGTATTGCAATAAAGTGAATATCACAATAAAGCAAGTCAAATGAATTTGTTGATGTCCCAGTACATAAAAAAGTTATGTTTACACAATACTACAGTCCATTAAGTGTACAATAGCATTATGTCTTTAAAAACAATGTACATACTTCACTGAAAAAAGTTTATTGCTAAAAATTGCTAACCATCATCTGAGCTTTCAGTGAGTCATAATCAGTGATCACAACCACCATAACAAATATAATAATAATGAAAAAGTGTGAAATAGAGAATTACCAAAATGTGATACAGAGACATGAAATGAGAAAATGCTATTGGGAAAATGGTGCTGATAGACTTGTTTAACACAGGGTGGCTACGAACCTCCAGTTTTTGAAAAATGCAATATCTGCGAGGTGCAGTGAAGCGAAGCACAATCAAGTGAGGTATGGCTCTGTAAGGGAAAGTTAGGGCTGGGGCTGTGATTTTAGGAAGAGCTTTAAAGGGAGGGCCTCACTGAGGAAGTGATTTTTGAACAGAGACATTAAAAAAGATGAAGTGCTAGTCATTAGGATATTTGGAACAAGAACATTCCAGGCCTCAGGAGCATGCCTAGTATGCTCAGAATAGCAAAGACAGTTCAGGTAGACAGTCCAGGGATGTGGACTTCATAAAATCATTAGGGATCCAGGCTCCTACCACCCCTAGTTTGACCCTCATGCTTTTGATTCAGGATAGCTGCTAGAACTCTAGCTATCATATCTGAGTTCCAGGGTGACAAGACAAGGAACAGAAGGTCACACCTTCTTTTAAGGTAACTTACTAAAAGTGCTGCAACACACTTCTGTTTTCATATGGCCGCACCTATCTGTAAAGGAGGCAAGTAAATAGAGTCTTTCAGCTGAATGGCAGTGTGTCCATCTCCAAATGTGAGGGTCCTCATTCTAAGGATGGTGAAGTTGTGGTATCTTAGAAAGCAGTTGGCACCCTCTGCCCTAAGTAGAGTGCTTAGCACAGTGCCAGGCACATAGGAAGACTCAGTAAGTGGTAGTTATCTTTTCTGTCTTCTTAACCATTCTCATTGGTTGGAAATCAAGTGAAGCTTTCCATTATTTTGGGATTCTTATACATGTATGTACTCTTTTTCCTATGACAGCAGTTCCTCCCCTGGCTACCAGCACTGTGTCTCCATCTCTTGCGTTGCTGGCTAACAACCTGTCCATGCCTACAAGTGACCTACCACCTGGTGCCTCCCCAAGGAAGAAGCCTCGAAAGCAACAGCACGTGATTTCAACAGAAGAAGGGGATATGATGGAGACAAACAGCACTGATGATGAGAAGTCCACGGCCAAGAGTCTTTTGGTCAAGTCTGAGAAACGCAAGTCTCCACCCAAGGAGTATATTGGTAATGGTCACTTGGGCTAGCTATTATCGTGTGAGGCTTTCCCACTTAAGTCAGGAGTCTATCGCTGAGGCTGTTTACATAATTAGGTTTCACTTAGGGATCACTTCTTGGAGTTATACTGGGAGAATTCTTGACAATATATAATAAGTTATTTAGTATCTTCCTTTTCTTTTCTTCTGAATAGATGAAGAAGGTGTGAGGTATGTCCCAGTGCGTCCAAGACCTCCCATTACTTTGCTCCGTCACTATCGGAACCCCTGGAAGGCTGCTTACCACCACTTTCAGCGGTACAGTGATGTCCGGGTTAAAGGTTAGTTGCATGAAATTGGTCTTTCATTTGACTATAATCACAGTAGAATAGGAAGCTAGAATTATAATTTTCTAGTTTCCAAAAACCCAAGTGGTGACAGGATGACCTCTATAGCACCCAGGGTAGTTGCGGAAGAGCTGTACTAGATTGTTATTTGACATAGTCCACACTGGTCCCGAGGATGTCAGATGTACATACGTTGTAAGCCCCAGGAAGTTTATTTTCGAAAAGACCTTTTGTTTAACATATGTGAAGCTCTTGAAATAGTCCAGGGCAAACACTCAGTAAATGGTTTTGTTGTTGTGCTTGAGGATTACTTTTTTTTTTTTTTTAAGATTTTATTTATTTATTTGACAGAGAGACACAGCGAGAGAGGGAACACAAGCAAGGGGAGTGGGAGAGGGAGAAGCAGGCTTCCCGCGGAGCAGGGATCCTGATGCGGAGCTCGATCCCAGGACCTTGGGATCATGACCTGAGCCGAAGGCAGACGCTTAACGACTGAGCAGCCCAGGCGCCCCAGAGAATTACATTTTAATAAACCCACATATAGTAAAAATAGCTGATCGTACTTTGCAAATATCTACAAATATTTCTACTGATAGGCTTTAAGCATCATTAATCTCAAATGTAATTGCACAGAGAAGTGTAAGTTTTCAGAGAATTGGTCACATTCCCCACTCCCTCGCATAAATTCTACTTGGAAATTTCTCTGAGGGTTTCCTTGAAGCCTCAAGATGACTCAGAGTTGGATGGTATTGTCTAATGTCTGCAAGGGGGGGTGAGGGTTCTGACAATTTAGTCTCTGAATGGAAGTACCAAGGTGGCTGCCCTTGCAGTGGTTCTTCCTCATGAAATACCTTGAGCTCTGAAAACAAGCTAGATTTCCAAAGGTCAGGGAGTGGTGGCCTTTAATGGAAGAAGGACATGGGCTACTAAACGTCTCTTTAGAAGAATTCACAAGAATTCCATATCATACCAGGAAAGTGTTTTAAAGTATTGCCTGGTAACATTTTAAGCCATTCTGAAAGATTGTTACAGCCTTCTGGGACTCATTCTTCAAAAACTATCTCAAGAAAGGTAATATGACAGCTGAAAGTATTGATACAAATAGGCTCTTGATTATTAGACTTTATGTTTTGTGTGTTAAAGATTTTATTTATTTGACAGAGGGAGACACAGCGAGAGAGAGGGAACACAAGCAGGGGGAGGGAGAGGGAGAAGCAGGCTTCCCGCCAAGCAGGGAACCCAATGTGGGGCTCGATCCCGGGACCCTGGGATCATGACCTGAGCTGAAGGCAGACGTTTAACGACTGAGCCACCCAGGTGCCCCGACTATTAAACTTTATTGATCTGCTTTGCCCAAGCTTTAAAATCATGTTCATATAAATCAAGATGGAATAGTAAAAATTGGTCAGGTAATTTCATAAGAAGGAAAGAAAAGAGAAACGGAAGAACAAAAAATGCAGGAAGTAAACAGAAAGCAAATAATAATATGGCAAACTTAGCTTTACATATCAGTAATTACCTTAAATAGTCTGAACATACCAATTAAAACACCAGTTGGCAGAGTGGATCCACAAAATGATCCAGCTCCATTCTGTCTTTAAGAAACTCACTTCAGATTCAGTGACAAGTGGATTGACAGTAACAGGATGGAAATAATACATAGAATGCAAAAATAAAGCAAGAGTGGCTGTGTTAATGTCAAATCAGGTAGACTTCAGAGGAGAGAAAATTACTAGAGACAAAGAAGGACATACTAATAAAGTACTGAACAGAAATGAAGAGCTTCAGAATATATGAAGCAAGAATAGGACAGCTAAAAGGAGAAGTAGGCAAATGAGCAGTGGTAGAACTTCAACACCCTGCTCTCAGCAACTAGTAAAACTACTTGACAAAAAATCAGCAAGGACTACACACCACCACATCTAACAGACCTTTAATACACTTCCAACAGCAGCAGAATGCATGTTGTATCAGGTGCCTACAAAACATAGATAAATCATATCCTGGATCATAAAATATAAACTTCAACAAATTTAAAAGAATTGAAATCATACAGGGCATCTTCATTGACCAGAATGGAATCAAACTAAAAACCAGTAAGAGAAAGATAACAGAAAATTCCTTGAACACACAAACTGCCAAAACTCAACCAGAAGCAAATAGACATTCTGGTTAGTCATAACCAATCAATAAGTTGTACCCATAGTTTTGAAGCTTCCAAACAGAAATCTCTATTTTCAGATACTTTAACTGGGAAATTCCACTAAACTTTTTTTTTTTTTTTTTAAGATTTTATTTATTTATTTGAGAAAGAGAGAGAGAGAATGAGAGAGAGCACATGAGAGGGAGGAGGATCAGAGGGAGAAGCAGGCTCCCCGCCGAGCAGGGAGCCCAATGCGGGACTCGATCCTGGGACTCCAGGATCATGACCTGAGCCAAAGGCAGTCGCTTAACCAACTGAGCCACCCAGGCGCCCTCCACTAAACTTTTAAAGAGGAATCAACACCAGTTTCTATAATCTCTTCTAAAATATAGGAGGAAGCATTTCCATATTAATTTTATGAAGCCAGTATTTTCCTGACACAAAAATCAGACAAGGAGAGTACAAATATAGAAAACTAATTATCAGTATTCTTCATGAATATAGATGCAAAAATCTTTAACAAAATGTTAGTAAATTAAATACAGCAACATATAAATAGCATTTTATACCTTGATTGAGTGGGGTTTGTACCAGTTATGCAAGGCTGGGTCATCATTTGAAAATCAGTGATTCACCATTATTAACAAGCTGTATTAATTTCCTAGGGCTGCTATAACAGAGTACCACAAACTCAATGGTCTAAAATTACACATTTATTCTCTCAGAGTTCTGGAGGCTAGACATCCAAAATCAAGGTGTCAGCAGAATCATGCTCTCTCTGAGGGCTGTAGAAGAGAATCCTTCCTTGCCTCATTTTAGCTTCTGCTGATTGCCAGCAATCCTTCGTATTATTTGGCTTGTCACTACATCATTCCAGTTTCTGCCTCTATCTTCACATAGCGTTCTTTTCTGTGTCTTATCTCTTTCTTTGTCTCTTTACAAGGACATCTGTCATTGATTTAGGGCCTCCTCTAATTCAGTAAGACTTCTTCTTGACTCGATTACATCTGCAAAGGCCCTTTTCCCAAATAAGGTCACCTCTATAGGTACAAGGGTTAGGACTTCAACATGTCTTTTGAGGGGACACAGTTCAACCCATAGCAAAAGCTAAAGAAGAAAAATAAACATAATCATATCAACTGATGCAGAAAAATTATTTGACAAAATTCAGTACTTTTTCGGGCGCCTGGGTGGCTCAGATGGTTAAGCGTCTGCCTTTGGCTCAGGTCATGATCCCAGGGTCCTGGGATCGAGTCCCGCATCGGGCTCCCTGCTCCTTGGGAGCCTGCTTCTCCCTCTGCCTCTCTCTCTCTCTGTCTCTCATGAATAAATAAATAAAATCTTTAAAAAAAAAAAAAATTCAATACTTTTTCATAATCTCTCAAAAACAGGGAAAGAAGACTTCCTTAACTTGATAAAAAGTCTGCAACACACCTACAACTAACATTATATTTAACAGTGGAAGACCGAATGCTTTCTACCTGAGATTAGCCAAAAGACTAGGCTGTCCTCTGATCTCTCTCTCACTACTCTTACTCAGCGTTAGTACTGGAAGTTCTAGACACCACGTTAAGTCAAGAAAGAGATAAAGGACTATATGGGTTGGGAAGGAATAAATAAAACTGTCTCTATTTGCAAATGACATCACTGTCTACATACAAATCTCCAGGATTCCACAAAAAAAAAAAAAAAAAAAAAACTCCTGGAACTAGTAAACGAGTTCAGCAAGGTCACAGGATACGATGTCAGCACACAAAAATCAATTTTAATTTTAGATATTTGGAATGAACTTGTGCAAACTGATATTGAAAACATAATGGCATTTGCAGTTGATCCTCCAGAAATGACCTATTTAGGTATAAATCTAGCAAAACATTACAGGATGTGTTTGCTATAAACTACAAAATGCTGATAAAAGAGATCTGAATAAATGAAAAGACATGCAATGTTCAAGGATTTGAAACTCAACATAAAGATGTAAGTTTTCCCTAGATTGATCAATAGGTTTAATACAGTTCTACCAGACTCACAGAAAGGTTTTTGTAGACACAGTAAATCTTATTTTAAACTTTATATAGAAAGTAGAATAGTTAAAATAACCTTGAAAAACAAGAGAAATCATTTTTTCTGATATTAAAGCATAGTTTATCTACAGTAGTTTAAACAGGGTGGTATTTGCAGAAGGATATACATATAAATGGAGTGGAATGGAAAATGCAGAAATAGACCCAGACAAATATGCTTAACTGATTTTTGACCCAATGAAAAAAAAAAATTCAGTGGAGGAAGGAGAGTCTTATTTTCAACAGATGGTGCTGGAAATCCATAAGTTTAAAAAAAGAGAGAGAGCCAAAGACCCTAACTTAATCCTCACACCTTATACAGAAGATAACTTAAAATGGATAATAGAGGGGTGCCTGGGTGGCTCAGTCGTTAAGCGTCTGCCTTCAGTTCAGGTCATGATCCCAGGGTCCCGGGATCGAGCCCCACATTGGGTTCCCTGCTTGGCGGGAAGCCTGCTTCTCTCTCTCCCACTCCCCCTGCTTGTGTTCCTGCTCTCGCTATCTCTCTCTGTCAAATAAATAAATAAAATCTTTAAAACGGATAATAGATTTAAATATGAAATGTGAAACTACTAAACTTTTAGAAGAAAACCCAAGATAAAGTCTTCACGACCTAGGGCATGGTGAACATTTCCTAGACATGACACCAAAAACACTGTCCACAAAAGGAAAGGAAAATAAACTGGACTTAATAAAAACTTTTTATCTCTGAAAGATCCTGTTAGGAAGATGGAAAGACAAACTATAGACTGGGAGAAAGTATTACCAAACCACATATCTCATAAAGGGCTCATATCTAGAATATATGTATTAGGAACTTTCAATACTTAACAGTAAATAAAAACCATAATCCAATTAGAAAAGGGACAAAAAGGCATGAAGAGACATTTCACCAAAGAGGATAACTTGGATGACATGCACAAGAAGATGTTCAAGGGAATAGAAATTTCCAGGCCTTAAGTGTGGTCTGCACATAGACTTTCTTACAGAGTTTAATTTGATGGGTGAAGGAGTAACTTTATAATGTATATACCTGACAAAACACCACCTCAGCCAGGTGCTCAAGGTCAATATGAATAGTGAAAGATCATGTTTAATAGTATACCCTTCTGTTCAAACTTAAGCAACTGTCAGTATACACTGCTATGTGTGTAAGGTGTTTTATATATAAACCTGCTAATAACTACAAATCAAGAACTGGTAATAGATACGCAATAAATAAAGAGAAAGTAATCCAAGTATATCACTAAAGAAAGCCAGCAAACCATGAGAGAAGAGAGCAAGAGAAGAAAGCAACAGAGAAAAACCACAAAAACAACCATAAAACAAGTAACAGCAGGTACCTGGGTGGCTAAGTCGGCTGAGCATGAAACTCTTGATTTTGGCTCAGGTCATGATCTCAGGGTCATGAGATCAAGCCTTTGTGCGATTCTTCTTCCTCTGCCCCTCCTTTCCCACCACCCTCCTCATGTGCATGCTTTCGCTCTCTGGGAAAAAAAATAAGCTAACAAAATGGCAAATTGATACCTATCAGTAATTACTTTGAATGTAAATGGACTAAACATTCCAACCAAAAGACAGAGGATAACAGAATGGATAAAAAAGCAAAACCTAGGGATGCCTGGGTGGCTCAGTCAGTTAAGCATCTGCCTTTGGCTCAGGTCATGATCCCAGGACCCTGGGATCAAGTCCCACATCAGGCTCCTTGCTCAGCCAGAAGCCTGCTTCTCCCTCTCCCTCTGCTGCTCCCCCTGCTGTGCGCGCTCTCTCTCTGACAAATAAATAAACAAAATCTTTATAAAAAAAAAAAAAAAGCAAGACCATCTGTATGCTGCCTACAAGAGACTCATTTCAAACCTAAAGACACATGTAGATGGAAGGTGAAGGGATGGAAAGACATTTATCATGCAAATGGAAGTGAAAAGAAAGGCAGAGTAGCAATATTTATATCAGGCAAAATAGACTTTAAAACTAAGACTGTAACAAAGAGACAAAGAAGGACACTATATAATCATAAAGGGAGCAATCCAACAAGAAGATGTAACAATTGTAAATATTTATGCACCCTACATGGGAGCATGCAAATACATAAAGCAGCTAATAACAAACAAAAGAAATAGTCAATAGTAATACAATAGTAGTAGAGGACTTTAACACCCCACTTACATCAATGGATAAATCATCCAAACAGAAAATCAAGGAAACAGTGGCTTTGAATGACACAGTGGACCAAACGTATCTAACGGATATATTCAGAACATTCTATCCCAAAACAGCAGAATTCACATTCTTTTCAAGTGCATTTAGAACATTCTCCAGAATAGATCACCTGTTAGGTCACAAAACAAGTCTTAATAAATTAAAAAAGATTGAAGTCATACCATGCATCTTTTCTTATTTTTTTTTTTTTATCAAGAACAATATTTATTAAGACCATTGTTAGGAAAAGGTTACAGACTTCTAAAAATATACCTGAATCTACTATGAGGACCAAGTGCTAGAGAATAAGCACCAAAGCATAACAGCATATAATGTTCTAATGTGTATGTGAAAAAACTTCATTTGTCTCATTAAATCCATCTTTTCTTCAATTTAGTCAAAGGTTATAGCAAAATATAATATTTGTCATATGAATGGTTCATAAAATGCAAGTGGCTGTGCTTCTCATTTTTGTTCATGTCACCTTCTAGATACATTACATAATAGCTAGATATCCTGGTTTTGCTCCCTAAGAGGCTACCAGCTGATGGTTCCAATTTTATAAAAAAAAGAAACATGGAAACTTTGTCCTTATAACTAGTCTTGTCATTAATAGCACTGCTCAATTGGCTACGGGAAAACAGCCATGCATCTTTTCTGACTACAGTGCTGTGAAACTAGAAATCAACCACGTGAAAAAATCTGGAAAAAACACAAATACATGGACATTCAACAACATGCTAGTAAACAATGAATGGGTCAACCAAGAAATCAAAGAGGAAATCAAAAAATACATAGAGACAACTGAAAAAACACAGTGACCCAAAATCTTTGGGATGCATCAAAAGGTATTCCAAGAGGGAAGCTTGTAACAATACAGGCCAATCTCAAGAAGCAAGAAAAATCTGAAGTAAACAACCTAACACAAACCCCAAACCAGTACAAGGAAGGAAATAAAGATTAGAGCAGAAATAAATGAGATAGAGGGGTGCCTGGGTGGCTCAGTTGGTTACGTGTCTGCCTTCGGCTCAGGTCATGATCCCAGGGTCCTAGGATCGAGTCCCGCATCGGAACCTGCTTCTCCCTCTGCCCCTCCCCCCTGCTCATGCTCTTGCTTGCTCTCTCTCTCTCTCTCTCTCTCAAATGAATAAATAAAAAATCTTTAAAAAAAAAAAGAAATGAGATAGAAACTTAATAGAGCAAATTGATGAAACGAGGAGCTTGTTCTTTGAAAACATCAACAAAATTCATAAACCTTTAACCAGACTCCTCAAAAGAAAAAGAGAAGACTCAAACAGAAATGAAACAGGAGAAAGAACAACTGACGCCACAGAAATACAAAGGAATACAAGAGAATATTATGAAAAATATGCCAACAAATTGGACAACCTAGAAGAAATGGATAAATTCCTAGAAACATAACTTGCCAATACTGAATCGGGAAGAAAGAGAAAATTTGAGCAGACCAATTACCAGCAATGAAATTGAATCAGTAATCAGAAAACTCCCGTCAAACAAAAGTCCAGGACCAGACAGCTCCACAGGTGAATTTAAAGAAGAGTTCATACCTATTCTTCTCAAACTATTCCAAAAATAGAAGAGGAAGGAAAGCTTCCAAATTCATTCTGAGGCCAGCATTACGCTGATACTAAAACAAGATAAAGACGCCACAAAAAAAGAACTACAGGCCAATATCTCTGATGAACATACAGGTAAAAATCCTTGACGAAATATTAACAAACTGAATCCAACAATATGTTTAAAAAAATCATTTGCCACAATCAAATGGGATTTATTCCTGGGATGCAAGGGTGGTTCAATATTCACAAATCAATCAACATAATACATCACATCAACAAGAGAAAGGAAAAAAGCCATACAATCATTTCAGTAGGTGCAGAAAAAACATTTGACAAAGTACAACATCCATTCATGATAAACAATATAGGTTTGGAGGAAACATACCTCAGCATAATAAAGGCCATATCTGAAAAACCCACAGCTAATATCATACTCAATGGTAAAAAACTGGGAGCTTTTCTGCAAAGATCAGGAATAAGACAAGGATGTCCACTTTCACCACTTTTATTCAACATAATACTGGAAGTCCTAGCCACAGCAGTCAGACATGAAAAAGAAATAAAAGGCATCCAAATTGAGAAGGAAGAAGGAAAACTTTCACTATTTGTAGATGATATGATATTATACATAGAAAACCTGAAAGAGTCCACTAAAAACTACTAGAACTGATAATGCAATTCAGTGAGGTTGCAGGATACAAAATCAATATACAGAAATCTGTTTGTTTCTATATACTTATTAATGAAATAGCAGAAAGAGAAATTAAGAAAACAGTCCCTTTTACAAGTACACCAAAAATAGTAAGATACCTAGGAATAAACTTAACCAAGGAGATGAAAGACCTATACTCTGAAAACCATAAAATACTGATGAAAGAAATTGAATATGACACAAATGGAAAGATACTACATGCTCATGGATTGGAAGAACAAATATTGTTAAAATGTCATTACTACCCAGGGCAATCTACAGATTTCATGTAATCCCTTTCAAAATGCCAACAGCATTTTTCACACAACTAGAATGAATAATCCTAAAATTTGTTCGGAACCACAAATAACCCTGAATAGCCAATGCAATCTTGAAAAAGAAAAACTAGAGGTGTCACAATGTCACAATTCCAAATTTCAAGATACAGTACAAAACTAGTAATCAAAACGGTATGGTACTGTCAAAAAAACAGACACAGATCATTGGAACAGAATAGAGAGCCCATACATGAACATGATTATATGGTCACTTAATCTTTGACAAAAGGAGGCAAGAATATGCATTGGGAAAAAGTCCCTTCAACAAATGGTATTGGGAAAACTGGACAGCAACATGCAAAAGAATGAAACTGGACCACATTCTTAGACCATACACAAAAGTAAACTCAAAATGAATTAAGGACCTAAATATGAGACCTGAGACCATAAAAATCCCAGAGGAGAACAGGCAGTAATTTCTCCGACATCAGCTGCAGCCACATTTTTTCTTTTATGTCTCCTAAGGTGAGGGATACAAAAGCAAAAATAAGCTATTGGGACTTCATCAGTATAAAAATTTCTGCACAGCAAAGGAAACAATCAATAAAACTAAAAGCCTACTGAACGGTAGGAGATATTTGCAAATGACCTGTCTGATAAAGGGTTAGTATCCAAAATACATAAAGAACTTCCATAACTTGGGCGCCTGGGTGGCTCAGTCAGTTAAGCATCTGCCTTCGGCTAGGTCATGATCCCAGGTTCCTGGGATCGAGCCCCGCATCGGGCTCCCTGCTCAGCAGGGAGCCTGCTTCTCCCTCTCCCTCCTGCTCTGCCTACTTGTACTCTCTCTCTTTCTGTCAAATAAATAAATAAAATCTTAAAAAAAAAAGAACTTCTCAAACTCAACACCAGAAAACCCCAAATAATCCAATTTAAAAATGGGCAGAAGACATGAAGAGGCATTTCTCAAAAGAAGACATCCAGATGGTCAACAGACACATGAAAAAATCCTCAGCATCGCTCATCAGGGAAATGCAAATCAAAACCACAATGAGATAGCACCTCACACCTGTCAGAATGGCTGAAATCAAAAACACAAGAAACGACAGGTGTTGGCAAGGATGTGAAGAAAAAAGAACCCTCACACACTATTGATAGAAATGCAAACTGGTGCAGCCATTGTGAAAAACAGTATGGAGGCTCCTTAAAAAATTAAAAATGGAATGACCATATGATCTTGTAATTCCACGACTGCGTATTTACCCAAAGAATTTGAAAACACTAATTTGAGAAGCTGTATGCACCCCTTTGTTTATTTCAGTGTTATTTACAATAGCCAAACTATGGAAGCAACCCAAGGGTCTATTGGCAGGTGAATGGATAAAGAAGATGTGATATATATACACAAGGGAATATTACTCAGCCATAAAAATGAATGAAAATCTTGCCATTTGCAACAACCTGGATGGATCTAGAGGGTATAACACTAAGTGAAATAAGTCAGAGAAAGACAAATACCATATGATTTCACTCATGTGGAGTTATAAAAACAAGGAAAAAAGAGGGACAAACCAAGAAATAGACTCTTAACTATAGTTAGAGAACGAACTGATGAAACTGATAGTTACCAGAGGGGAGGTGGGTGGGGGCCAGAGGTGAAATAGGTGAACAAGATTAAGAGTGCACTTGTTATGATGAGCACTGAGTAATGTATAGAGTTGTTGAATCACTATATCATACACGTGAAACTAATATGTACACTGGAGTTTTTTTTAAAAATAGTATATACCCACTTTGCCACTTTCCCTCTATGTCCCCTCTCATAACTACACTCTAATCCTGAGAGAAACATCAGGCAAATCCAAATAGAATGGCAGCCTGCAAAATTACTTGACCAGTAGTCTTCAAAACTGTCAAGGTCATCAGAAGCAAGGACCATCTGAGAAACCATCAAGCCAAGAGTTGTCGAAGGAGACATAACAAGTAAAATGTACTGTATTTATTTTCGTTGGGTCCTGGACCATAAAATTTATTTTTTAGAAAATGTTCAACATCACGAGCCATTAAAGAAATTGAAATTGAGGTGTCACTACACACCTATCAAAACAGCTGAAACAAAAATACTGATAATGCTAAATGCTGGTGAGGATGCAGAGAAACTAGATTTCTTGTACATTCCTTTAAGCACTTTGAACCTGTAGTCACAGTGCCTTCTGGCCTCCCTCATTTCTCCTTAAAAGTCAACTGTCGATTCTCTGAGATGGTTGCATTTCTCATACTTGGAGTTCCTGGACTTCCTTGGATATTTGGGTTATTGTTTTTCAGTAAATTGGGGACATAGCCATGTTTTTTCTTTGAATATTTCTTTCTCTCTTCTTCTGGTACTCCCATTACCTGTGTGTTGAGGCTTTTAATAGTGTCTCACATTTCTCTGAGGCCCTACTTATTTTTCTTATTCTTTTTACTCTGTTCTTCAGCCTGCATAATCTCTATCA